AGGTGTGTGAAGTTATATTTCTCACCTTTCTTTTTTTATATGATATGTGTTTTCATTTTGTAGTTATTTCAGTTATAGTGGTAATGGAACTAACAAGATGTGGGACATTCTTAGATAATTAAACCACTGGTTTATGGAACAGTACTTCAATTAGGTAATATTGCTTTGCCTTCCTTATATTGTGGAGTTAAAATTTTACTTGTTCAAGGAAATCTTTCTTAAACTTGAGGCTGGCTTTGAGAGTACTGTTGTTGAAATAAAGGTGATCTGCAGAGAGCTCTCATAGAACCACTTTTAAATGCTCACTGTCATTTCTGCAGTGTCTTTAGAAATGTAATCGGACAGATGGATGTGCTGGATTGGCACTGTAAGTGTCTTTGCTGAGAATAGTATCAATAGCTATTAATAACTTTGAAAGTCTCTCCAGATAAATTAGTGAGTACCGACCTTATAGCTCAGGAATATATATGTTGTTAAACTGAAGATTTTCTAAGTATTTATTTTGAACCAAGCATGAACACAGGGAACTGCAATAAGCTTGTATTTTAGTGATGTAATATTTTCTCTAAAACTGATTTTAAAAGCAAAGATAATCACCATTGTACTGTTTCAGGATTTCTTGAGGTGAATGTCAAAGTGACTGTGCTATGCATTTATTTGCTTATTTTTAAGGTTTGTATTTCTTGGGGAAAGAAAAAAATTGATCAAATGCAGGAAATTGAACCATCTAAAATGCTATCAGAAAGGAAATGCTGAACCATGTTTAACAGAAATGCTTGCATATTAAAACAGTTACAGTATGCTTCTCAAAAATTTCTTGTGATTTTTAATGCTAGAACACCACCACTGCAGCCTTACTTATTGAAATTCATCTTCACTTTCCATCCATATTTCAGTATTGGTTAATTTTTTATTATGTCCTCATTGGACATTGCCAGGCAGGATATTCAGTCCTTTTCATTGGTCCTGCTCTTCTTCTTGCTTTGAATTAAGAAATTAAGAAAAGGGGTGTGCATTTCTTGTTAATTTACCCACAAAAATAATTACATCCTGCAAAGGTAGGTACCTCAGGGCAATTTAAATTATTCATATACATATAAATAATAATATATATACTTAAATATAATACATTTACATACACGTATAAATATATAGATAAAAGTTCTTCTGGTTTTTTCCTTTGCAAGGTGTAACTTTAGAATGTATATACGCAAAATGGCAGGAAAGCCTTTTGTATATACATTTTTCCTGCTATTTCCTTACATAACAGTTATTTTCTATCAAGAACATGTAGTAGATGCCTTAGTCTAGGCTGGATTCATTTTTGCTATAAAGTGCAACCCTGAGTATTTGTTCTAAAACTTTTCCCAGGTTACCAGAAGAACACTGTACTACAGGCTGTGCCATTACAGCAGACATTTTATTTGTGATCGAATTAGAATCTGGGTCTTGGGATTTGAAAGACAAACGCATTAATCCCCTGAAAGATTCAGTCAATCTCTGTCAATTCTAATCAGGTAAAGGCATTGGTCTTTTTGCTTCACAGCAGTTGGAGGGATTTATTTCAAGCTTATTTCATCTTTGAGGTAAAAATGTCCCTTTTCCATGTGAAATACTGCAGGATTTAATGCACTCATATGTCCCCTTTAAGGTATCACAATTCTCTGTAATTTGCAGAAATCAGCACCAGGTAGTAAGGAGGACAAAATTATGCAGGTTTTGCTAAAACAGAATGGGGGCTGGGAAGGAGGAAGGTGTTGGAGTAGCTTGGAAAATTTGCCACTTGAGGAGATGACTTAAGATAGTGAATTTATCTTTGAAAGAGAGCAAGGGTCTGCATTTTACAGAGTTTTCTGTGTAAAACATGAAAAAGTAGGCTTGCCAGGTAAACTGAAATGAAATTGGTTTTGTATAACCTTCTGTGTAATAAGAATGGAGTTGATTTATGATGCAACAAGTTACTTTGCTTTATCCAGGAGAGATCCTGTGATGAAAAAATTCAGGGATTAGTAGTATTATGTTTTCTGATGCCACAATACTAGTTAAAAATAATCATATGCAGAAGCTCCTAGATGCCTTTAAAATAACCATAAGGTGGTGTTTGTAGTTAGCCCAGTAGAATAGACTGCTCTACTGTTTTGGACAGCATTTTCTCCAGAACTGAATTGCCTACCGTGTTCCCTCTCATAGAAGAATTTTGTATTTATAATTAGTTGTCCTAGGGGAGGTCAGGCCCCCAAAATGGCAATGTTGGATACCCTGTGCAGTGTGTTACAAGATTTGTATCAGTAATACATGTTTTTCCTGTAAATACTTCAAGACTTTTCTGAGATGTGGTGGCTCACTGTCCAAAAACAAAGGGAAAGTAACAGGCTGAGACCATGGTATGGAAGAGTAATGGCAGCTTCTTAGGTGTTCTTATATAATTGTCAGAGTTAATGAAATATATTTCTTTGTTTTCTCCAGTGAAGTCTTTCAATTTGTTGTATTTGTGGAAACAAGGTGGAAGAATTGCTTACAGTGCTGATAAGGTGTGAGGCAAAGCCTACTTTCATCTGGGTTTTAATATAAATTATCCCTTTGTCTTTCCTTTTGCCCTCTAGTGAACCCTCATTCTTCCATCTAGAAGTCCAGAAATCTTTGTCTGACACAAAAAGAAATCTGGAACAGGTAGTGGTTTCCTGTTTTCAGCAGTGGGTGGTAATGTTCACCTCCTGGCTAAAATTCAAATCTTTGTCTGTCGCATTTTTTTGTATTGCCACTTTAGTGTGCAAGATTATCATGAAACAATGTGTTAGAGAATAGAAGACAGATTCTCTAATGTGTTTTTTTCTGTTTATCCTCTTTGTATTCCTTATTGCAGGAAACCTGGGAAAGCAACTGTGTTGCTTGCCTCACCTGCTCTTAACTCTTTGTACATTATAGTGAAGGGAGATCTAGATTTGATTAAGCATGCCACTCATTGGCTATTCCCAGAGCTTTCTCTTAACTGAGAGACACCTTTTTTCTTGTTTCATGATGAGTCCTTGCCTTTTACTTAGTACCAGGTAGATGATGAGGTTCTCTTCTTTTTTTTTTTTCCTTTTTATTTCTTGGTTGTGGGGTTTTTTGGGGGTTTTTTTGTTTGGTTTGGTTTTTTTTTCTGGTGTTACTTTTTGGTTTTAAATTCAAATTGGTAATCACTAAAGGCAAGAAGGAACTAAATTGTAGAGTGTAATAATTGCAATGCAGTAGTGATTTCAACTTTGGTAGGTGGTTTCAGGAGCTTGACAAAAAGTTAAGTGGTAGCTGTCTTCTCTCACTCTGTTCAGGTCCTCTTTTATTAAATCTATCTTATTTTTTGACACTCCTCCCTGTAGTCCTTGCCCTACCTTGCCCTTGGCTTCTTTTGGTGGCTGTGGCCACATGGCTGAATCCCATCATTCCAGCAGCATCAGTGTCCCTTCTTGACGTTTCCATGCATTAGGATGAATTTTCTTTTCTGGTATTAACAGCCATAATGGAAGCAGTTAGGTTTCTCTTTCTGCTTTTCAATTTCTTTTTAGGCCTCCTAGCACTTGGAATGGGCAGCTCAGTTATTATTAAATCATCTGGAAGTAAGAATAATCTGTTCTCTTCATTTCCTCTTTCCCTAGATCACAGTATTTGATGTTTATTTGAAATAGAGGGCCTCATGAAATTTGTTCCTAAAATTAGGTTCTAATTTGTGGCCTTAAGTACAACAAAGGAAACAAGAAAGAAGTGTAGGAGAAGTAATGACAGCAATGTTTTGTACTTTCCTCATTTTCTTGATAAGAAGGGTTCTCTAACTCGCTGGTTCTATGCCTGGGATCAGGAATTAATGTATGGTATAGGGATTTTTATGGTCTTTGACTTCACACTTCTCTAAAAGAAACTTGTCCTCTAGGTGAATCTCTGGCCAGCTGCATTTGTGAGTTTGCCCATACTTGACTGAAGGCAGATGTTTCAGATGTTTGAGCTTCCCAAAGAGCTCTCTGATGTGATTTCCATGGGAACTGTAACTGGCCTAAGCATCAGGAAAATAATCCAGTTAGTATCATAGAGGTGTGCAGTATCTGAAGTTCTGATGGTTATGAAGTAGTAACCTTTTATCTCTTGCTACAACTTGATATTAGCCTTCAGGATGGGGGGCCATGTGACACATGGGACGACACAGGCACTAAGTAAGGAGGTGTCTTTGCAATCTCATCTCTCTTCTAGCAGAGCTGTCTTCTAATCCTAGATGTCACTGTTTCGTCAGGCTGACACTGCTTTTTTCCATACTGATCTAGAACTTAATATAGCATATTCTCAGCTCTGAAATATGTGTAATGTAAGTGGATCCTGTGAGTGACTGAAGGAAATACTGTAAATAAAACCTTTGTTTCCCATATGGCAGCACAGATTGACTAGAACCATCCCTTTAGAGCTCTTTTATTTGGTTGTTTTCTGGTAACACTGTTAGTATTCTGTCTGAAACATGAGACTGACCTACATCAAGTAGCACAGGTTATCAGCATAGAACCTGTATAAAATTGATAGGAAACTTTCTAGTGCCTAATTTTAAATAAAAGCTACTGGTTTTATCTGTATTTTGCCCAATTCATGTATCTTTCGTTTGCGGTGGTGATGAATATTTGGTTATACTGCCACTGCAGTCATTATTCATCATAAGCAAAATTTGTTTGGGGGATTAGTGAGTTGATTTGTATTTGGGCTCATGTGATTCTGTTTGCTTTATTGTTTTGGGTTGTAGAACTGGACAACAGAGCTTGAATGACATAATGAATCTCTCTGTGAGATAATGTGATATAGTACGGCTTTTAAAAAAAACCTATTTTCTTTAACCTTCCTAGAAAGAATGAGTGCATTATGTTTCTACTATCTGATGCAGCTATTCCAGGAGAAAATAATACTTAACAAATTCAATGCTTAAAGTGATGATGGAATATATTTTATTCAGACCTTGTTGACTCCTTCTGTTTGCTTCACTCCCCCAGACAAACGTGTTGATGACTGGCCCTTGATGCAGTCTCCATTTCCAACCCTGACTATAAGCACTATTTATCTCCTCACTGTCTGGCTGGGCCCCAAATGGATGAAGACGAGAGAGCCCTTCCAGTTACGCTTCCTCTTGGTTGTTTACAACTTTGGAATGGTTCTGCTCAACTTCTTCATTTTCAAAGAGGTGTGTATGCCCTCTTGCAAGAGGGAATTCTTACTGAGGTTTGAGGATGTCAAAATGAAAATGATGTTGCATATTCTTGATGTCTATTGAAAATTAATGTTTTGCACAGACTTTTAAAGATGAGTTTGCCTTTGAGGAGAGTATTTCTACAAACACGTAGTTTCTGAAAATAATTGCACTAAATGAGTCAATAGAGAGAATTTGTGTTTGACGTATTTCAAGTTCTTCTTAGGTTTATGTCTAAATACTGGAGAGACTAAAATCTGTAGATTTAACACCCGTAACTGATACTTTTTTTCATCTTAATAATCCTAAAGGGTATCAGAATGTATCTTGTTAGAAATTGAGTTATTTATGCTTTCAATGTGATTATAGTATTTAGAAATTCAGATGTCTGTTGTCTGTAGTAAGGAAAAGTATCTTGTCTGGAAGTTATCTTTAGGAATAAAAATGAAGTGAACTATACCTTTAAATAAAAATAAAAGAATACAGACTTCTAATACTTGGTTTGCAATGTTCTGAGTGTGTTACTTGTAATAAATTTCAGAGTTGCTGAATTTTTCCTTTGTTGGATTTTCTGGACAGAGGGAATGAATAGTAACACTGCAGTGGATCAGCTGTGTAGCAGTAGCTAACTGGGATTACTTAACAATTTGGTAATTATTATTCAAGGATAACTGTACAGAAAATGGCTGATGCTAAGTTTATGCTGCTGTGATTGCTCAAGGGGATCAGGAGTTGTCTTCCTGGAAGATCATAGATTTTCAAAATCTATTTCCAGAAGTAAGCAAATTAACAGAGCAGTTAAAATTACAGCGTTGCAGAACTATCTGGTCTGTTCTGTACTTTTGCGAGGAAGAAATGGTATATCTGATGGCATATCTGCATTTTGACCCTTTCTCAGAGCTCCTAGCTTAAAATCATTAATCATAAAATGATTTCAACTTCTCTTTAAGACATGGTTTAGTAAAATTTTAGCCATCACACCTTAGTCATAATTTTGTCTAAACTGTTTTCTTGGACTATTCAACAAAGTAGCGTGACAGGTACAAAAGAATTTAATGCTGACATGAAAGCATAGTTGAAGGAAGAGATTAAATCCAATCATCTTGGCAGGCTAAAACTGAAACTCCTGAAATTAGTTCTGCAGTGTTGCTGCAATGCCTGTTTTTTTTTTTCACATATTGTTTTAAACTTGTTTGTTTCATCCATAAGCTTAATTATAACAAACTTGCAGTCAGATAATATTCAGACCTATGTTCCTTATAGGATATGTGTTTGTAGCATTTCCAGGTCACTGAATTAACATAAAAATGAGTGGGACTGCATATACATATTTATTGTTGACATGCTGAAAGCTCATAACTTTATACACAGAGGTTCTAATTTCCTCCTCTCTCCTAGTGGTAGGTTGTTATTCAGTGGATGTTGAGGGAATGGATACAGCACTTCCAGCAAGTGTCTTTTCTTGATTGTAGAGACTGATAGGAGGAAGGCGCTCAAGTTTCAGTTGTTCCCTGTAACAAGGCAATTTCTGCTTCCAAAGTTTACAGTACCACTGTGACACTATATTCACACAAGTTTAATGTAATTGTTTTGAGTAAAATGATACTGTTTGTATTTTGTGTGTGTTTGTAAAGTTTCCAGACATTGCTAAGAACAGAATTTTAATGTGAAATGCCTTTAAAAGTTATATTTAAATAAACATCCTGATGGAAAGCTCTTTTATTCATCTGTGGTAGCTGATGTTAAATAGTAAGTCATAAAGCGTAGTGCAAGACTCATATGCTGAATTCAAATTCACGTACAAATTTGGAGCAAATTTTGCTTAGAACATGCAGAAGTCACAATGGAATGGACCCTATTTTGCCACAGAATCATGAATTTCTTATTTTACTTCAGGGCAGTCTGGTGAAGTCAATTTACTGCCTTCTACCAAGGGAACCTTGGTAGAATTGTCCAGTAGGTCACAGTAGAGACGGGTTGGTTTCTGTAACAGTGCAAACTAAACTTTCCCTGCTGTTCTCTCTGAGTACTGGATGTGTTTGTGCCCATGTGGGACTACACTGGAATTCCAGTTAGTTACGGTAGTTTGTAAATGGACTTAGATGATGCAGAAGTAGTTTAGTTTCTTTTCTAGGATAATTTCTGTGGGCAGTTCTTTCATTTGCCTCCTTTAACACACGTGCAGCAAACAAGTCCAGAGGTTCACAAGGTTTTGTGTGTTGTAAATAAGATGGAAGTCAGGTTAGTGGTAATAGTCAGTGCTTGTCCATTTTTTGAAATCTTTTTCTATCACCCCAATTTATGTCTGCTCCACTGTTGTTTCTCTTTGATCCTTAATAAAGTGGGATTACTTGGCTTTAAACGTTCTTGGATTATAACATTTATGAATGTCAAGATTAGAAGTGTTACTTGAACTTGTAGTGCTCTAGAAAACTGTACTTCTTTGCAATGGGAACTTGTTCAAATGTCAATTTTATCTCCTCCTGTCGAGGTTTTTGCAATGTGCTTTGTTTGGAGAGGCCCTACAGAAGCATTTCAATTGCTTTAGGCCATTTTTGTTGGCACAAAATGGGGAACTTTTCTCCATCCTTTTTCCCTCACTGTGTTTAGTGGGTATTCAGCTTTGGCTGTTCACAGTGAGGCGGGTGGGTGGAAGAAGTTGTGAATTTTGATTGTTATACTATGCTAAGAATTGTACATCCAAATTGTCTAATCCCAGTCTCTTGAATCCATACTGGGGATAGCTTTTCTCTCAACTGTAGTGAAAGCAATTGGGTATTTTCTCTTTCTGAAGCTAGAGCCATCAGAAAGAATATTTGTGTCCAAAGGTCATACTAGAACTTGTTGTACAAGACTCTAATTATCTAGGCAGATATATGCAGGGGAAAAAATGAGTGCTTTCTTTTTAATTTATAAGAAAAAAAAAGTCCATAACAATAGGTTGTTAGTACTAAATATTGTCTTTCTTCAATAGTATTCTCAGGACCCATAAGAATATTTTAAGTATTTCTGTTCCGGTAAGTTTGATGTAGCAAGAAATTTGCTGATAATTGCTATAAATGTGCTTTATGTATTATATTTCCCCTCATGTATGGCTTTAATATTTTCAGTTGTTCTTGTCATCAAGAGCTCGAGGGTACAGCTATGTCTGCCAGACTGTGGATTATTCAGATAATGTTTATGAAGTTAGGGTGAGTATTTCTTTTTTGTATTTGTATATGAATGTGTGTGATATATAGCACTACGTGATGATTTAAGCCTTTTCTGAAAACAGTGTTTCCACAGCTGCTGTCAGCAATGACTGTATCCCGTTACATCCTCACAGGCCATGCAGGTTTGACTACATCATACGTAGCAGGTTTAATCATAATGCATCAGCTTGTTTGTGCTTACTTGCATCTGACTGCAACAAGTAAGGGGAGTCTTAAAGATACCATCCTTGGCTTCATCTGCACAGCTGTACAATGCAGGGGAAACTTTGTGTACATCCTTTGCTTCCTAGATTTGCTGAAGTTTGAGATACCAGGGTAACCGCAGTAAAGGTGGTGTGTTCTAGCTAGATCAAAGCAAGAGAGATTTGTCATCTTGTGGTTGCACTTCACCCATACTGGTGTGGCAACTCTTTGTCTCCTTTACCCATGTTTGGCTTTATGAGGTCTTGCTGGCATTTGGCAAATGTATTATCAGTACATTTCATTGTACAATCTTAGATTTCGAATATCTGGGTTTTGGAAAACATCCAAACTGAAAGCAAAGTGCAGTTCCTTGTTAATTTTCATAATGCTGTTTCTTAGCTCATGTCCTAAACCTTATCTTCCAGCAGAGCTGACACTAGAGTCTCTCAGCTGTTCTTGCAAGTTTCATGTGCAGATTAGGACACGTTCCTGAAAATGCAGTGAAAATATGTGTTATGTTTATGGTAGTTTGAAAAATGTTTCTCTGTGAGGTGGCTGTTCATGGGCAGGTTAGTCAAAAGCTTGTGCACGTGGCAGGGGTGGTAGTGAGAACAAAAGGTTTGAGTCTTACAGCTTATTTTTAATGGCTGATATTGCAGAACAGCTCTGTGTGTAGATTTTTATTTGCCTTTTTGTAGCTGCCAATCTTTCACCTTTGCCAATACTGCTCTCACCATGTCAGTCACCACAATGATTCTGTTAAAAATTTTGTTAAAAAAACCCAAAATCTAGCAGAATATAACAAGTGCTTGGCAGGTTTGGGTTTTTTAATAGATAAGCAAAATAGAATACCCTTGTACTTAGCTGAATGTCATTGAGGACTGGTGTGGTATATATGGGAAGAATTTTTGTATTAGCTAAATACAAGCAGTACTCTGTTTCATAGCCCCCCTTGTAGGTCCCTTTTCACTGCCTCCCTTGTTTGTGGGAGGCAGTGGAGAGGTCAGACCTGCTCAAATGAATTATCATCCATTTTGTTTGTTATGACAAGTACAGCATTCTTATACAATGAAATAAAGGCAAAATGACCTGAAGAACGTATTTATATCTGGACTATATAGTATGTCCAGATAGGAAGGATTGCTCTAGCAATATATTCTTTTGACTTCCTGGCTTTTTTCTTATTTTTTAAAATTTTATAAAATTATTTCCCAGATTTGTAGATTTGCTTAAAACTTATCCCTGAAGTTTAAGTTGTAACATGTTCAGTTTGCAACTGAGGGAGTTAGGAACGGGGAAAATGGAGTCCTCTCAAGTTACTGCATCAAGTGTATAGTACGTTATCAGTCAAGATTCTTATCTTGATTGATCATTTTCTGGTAATTCATTTTGAATGAATTTTCAGTTTAGGTAAATAAGTTGCAAATAGAAAATTATACTTTCCACAAGTGTGCTTTGTCGAAGTGAGGACTCTTGGATACATGTCTGTCTTGCTTTACAGTATATCATGCTCTGCATTTAGAAGGTATGCTGTTTTTTGACACTGTCAGACCAGAAAAATAAATTAAAAAAAAACCCAATCCAGACCTCCTCAAGATTTCATTCACTATCGTCTTTCATAATATAAACCTGCGAAAGCAATTTTTAAATGTTTTTGCAGTTTTGAGTATGGAATCAATAAGCATTTTAGCACATCTTTCATGTCCTTTTAATAGATCTAGATACTAAATGGCTAGCATTTATTGGCACCAGGTTAGCTCTGCAGAGAAAAGCTGCACTGCAACAGTAGGATCAATTACAAATGCAATGACCATATTTGCAAGGGAATGAGTGAATAAATCCTGTGTTGCTCAGATAAAGAAAACTGGGACTAGCTCACATGGAAACAGCACTGAGCCCAGAAAGCTCATTATGGAACATGCTCTGAAAAGCAGAGCTTCATATGTGATTTTAATTTGGGGCTTTGAAATTTGGTACTAATGTTGAGAAATGTGAAACTAATTGTATATAGTGGTCTAAATGGCAACATAGGAGCCTTGATAGGGATCCTGTTTCTGGCTTTTTGGGAATGTGCTGCTGTAATATTGCCAGCACATTGAGTGGCCTCCTTTGTGTAAAGCTCTTGATCAAAATAAGGGGTCAAGAAAGCATCCTTTATCCTTCAAGAGACTACAGAGAGCACCCAGAAAAAGTCCCCCCACCCCCCGCCAAAAAAAAACCAACAACATACCAAGTTTGCCTATCCTGGATACCAGGTAATGTCCTTTTCTGCCTCTCCAACCCACATCATGTATCAAGACAGTAAGCCAGTGATTTTAAAGGAGAGGGAGCAAGTTAAGGGCATGTGGTGTCACTTCCCCTTTACAGTTTAGCAACACAGCAACCTGTGGCTCAGAGACCTTTTGAGTCAGACAAAGCCTCTTTGGTTTTGCCAGTTTTTAGGAGGATTTTTTCCCATGTATTTCTCTGCATATTTTCTTATACTTTATTGTTCTTTTGTCTTTCACTGATGGTTAATTGTGTAGGTAGTTTACACAAAAGGTGAAGAAGCTGGTCCTCCTGCTTACTGTTTTGAACCTACCTACACATGTTAATTTCATTCAGGCTCCCCTGGCTGTTCTACAAGAAACAATGGACAACTGGAGCAGGCAGGGATGAAAAGTAAATTCCCCAGCTGCCAAAACATTTGCTGAAATAACTCCTTTGTGAAGGACTTATCTGATGAATGTAGTAGGTAGTCACTGTACTGACTGCTGGCAGAGAGTTGAGTGGTTTTGTTATGAAAAAAACACAAAATGTTCATGGTATACAAGAAAGAAAAGGGGGAACAAACCTCTTTTAGAGAGATCTACAGATGTATCTTGCAAAAACTTTTTTGGTTATAGCTTAAGAATCAAAATAATAAATGCAAATGACTAAGATGTTAAATCCATGCTTTGTAATACTCCTTTGGGAGCTTCAGTATTTGAAGTGAACAATTTTGTTACACTGTCTAACTTAATGTATGCTGGTGTCTGCCAGTAGTCATTTCCCTGCTCTGCTTATGTTTGTGAGTTCTTGTGTACTAGGCCAAAGTTCATCTATTTTATTAGCATTTCTGAAGAATTGGGAATATGGGGCTGTGTGAATTTGTTGTTATTTTAAGTGTGCTGATTGTAATCATGAAGCCAAGCAATGGTTGTTTTCTGTATTGTAATTGTAATCTACATTGTTAGTATTTATGTCTAGAGCTTGAGTGGTTTCCTCTTATGAAAAAAAACATCATATACTTCAAACATCAGTAAACTTGACTTCACAAGTTCTGTAAACAAAATTCTATAACTGAAAATTCACTATAAAAGCTTTTTTAATTTTTCACATTGCTGTAACCTTCCAAGAAGTACCTGTCCCTTCATACCCCTTAGTGGATAAATGTCTCCAGCACAAAATGAAGAGAAATGGTGCAGAAATAGAGTCCTGCAATAAAACAGCCCAACAGTCAAAAACCCTGCAGCAGGCAGAGGACATGGGATTGGACCTCTTGTTGACCCCCTTAATCCTAGGCTGTAATGTAATCTTTCTGTGCCATCTGGTGTTTTAACAGACTTCGATTGGTATATATGAAAAATACCAGAAAATATATAGTTGTGACTACTATTGTTCATTACAAGGATGTGCCTTTTTAATGCATGTTTCCTTTTCTTTTCAACTAAATCTTTCTTGCATGCAGTGTCCAAAGGCTAAAGGTTACGTCATGATTTTTGATGCTTTGCAAAAGAAATTTAATAGTAGCCATCTGCTTCTGACACAGCTAACATATCAGTGTTTTGTTCTTTGTTTCTGCCCTTTTTCACTCATTTGATGCATGGCCTCAGGCAAATGACTTGACATTTGTTTCATTTTTTTCTATAAGCTAATGATAAAAATGTCTGTAGAAGTCACTGGAAGTACTGAAATAGATCATCAGTACACCAAACCTATCAGGTTTGAGAGTAAATGGTAGAAAATTTGATGATATTAAGAGCAAAGAAGCTGACAGGCAAAAAAATTTACAGGAACACAAAATCAGAAGGTATAATCCTTCAAAGGATCCTGTTGTTTTTCTTAAGTGATGGGAAGCATTTTGATCAAAAGTTCAGATTATTTCTACCCATGAAGTGTAATTGCTTTCTCCACTAGGTGCAATTCAAAAGAAGAGCAATGAGATGTGTTATGTGACTTGTCCAAGAACATATACTGAACTTGTGGCACTTTGGGTATGAGACAGAAGTATTTTTGTAGGATTTTTATATTTTCCTCTGTGTCACAGTAAATTGGCTATTTGCTTGTTGGCTTTTGGACTTACTGTTCCCATATTTTATTAAGAAAAATATCAATTTACTTTATGAAAGATTTTATGGCAGTTTGCTTGTAACTGACCTCCTGGTTCTCTAGAAGTTTCTTTGAAGGGAGGACCTCCAAAGAGCTAAACTATTGCAGTGATGGATTGTCATTTTATGGATATACAGTCCAAAGTGTTTATTGTTAACTTATGAAATGCAAAGATGCTTATCTTAATTTATGTAAGAGATGCAACTTTAGCAAAGACCTGTAAGAGATGCTGGACTGTTATGCTAACCCACTGGGTGTGAGACAAACCTTGATGTAGGTGTTACTGAATACCTGACTACTGTCCCAGAGGCAGTACTGGATATTGAGCAACATATACATGTGTATATATATATATATATATATATATATATATATGATTCTTGCACCTTGCCTCTGTGTCTGAGAACTCCAAGATCTGTGGGAGTCACTTTTCTGTCATTAAGCCTCTCTCCAGCTTTAGATATTAATATCTCTTCATATAAAAATGAAAAATTCTGCCTCCCCAAGATGTGAAGTGGGCTAAATCACATCCAGAGCATGAGAAGGGTGTTCATTAATGGTCACATAGAAGGCTGCAGTTTGGCATCAGTAAGATGTGCTGTCCCTCTGGGAAGCTGCAGAGCCTGCAATGCAGATATGCAGCACTCTTCTATGCTGCATTTTTGCTTCTGCTGTAATTTTTCCTAAACTGTTCACCAGACCAACTATGGCTATGACAAACAGTCTGTGGAGAGATGTTGTCCTTTCCCATTGGTTTGGAGAGGTGGAGGAAAACACCATGCAGGGCTATAGCATTGCTCTCTACTGCTCTTTACGATTGCCCTTTATCTTACCTAAAAATATCTGTGTAGTTGGGAAGCTACTCTGTGTTAACTCTTTTTTCTTCTGTCTTCCCTGTGGATTTGAGGGTGTGGTGGGGTTATTTCACACCATATTAACTTATGAAAATCTGGTTTACCATCAACTGAGTCCTGAAGGACAAGGCCAACTTCTTACAAATAGTGTGTTGTGACATTGCCTGCTCTCCTTGCTGGTGGTACCAATTCCAACTCTTTTTTTTTTTTCCACTCTCTGTGTGAGTCACCATCTGGTCTCACCCTTGCATAACAAGCTAGATGACTTACAATGCCAAAACTAAACTTGTTGCTATGTTTTGGGATCTGGGAGGGAGTCCCTACCACCACCATACTCCCATATCATCATATTAGCATATTGCTACACAGAGCTTCTGGGCTTTACTTGCTTTGACAATATCCTAATTTCAGCAGGAAGCCCTGTTTATGTTGCATCCTGGGCAAGATGCACTGTGATGGGTGGATGAGAAAAAGAATTTTGGGTGTGTAGCACTTCCCTGTTGGGTAGATGGATTATATATGTTCAGTTTGTATGGCTCCTGTGGTCTCTTTTTTTCTACTCCCTGAATAGCAGAGAGCCTCTGGGGGAATGCTTCTTTACAGAGGGAGTTCCTGAGAGGGCCAGAAGAAGCTGAGGGAATATTGCTGTAAGGAATGTGAAATCTGTGCTGCATCTAACTTTTTTGGATATCTTTCCACCCGTGTGCCTGTGGTACTGAAAGTCTCACCTTTGCAACTTCATTTTGTCATAATGTTTCTGCCTCATTGTTCTGACCACATCAAAGTCCTGTGGCAGACTTCTGCAAAGCTTAGGAGAGAATGAGGACACAAACTTCCAGTGTTTAGCTGGTAAACTGTTCAGATATGGCAAAGCTTTTAATTATATCAGCTCTTTTTTACAGATGTGATTTGTGAACAGGCTCAGAATAATCTTCTTCCATGTCCAGAATAGATGAAAGGAGTATTTTTTTGTTGTTCCCATACTGTCAGATGTTTGACTCCACCTCAACTTTTAATCAAGATTTAGGGAAGGAAGAGATATCCTTCTCTTACAGTAGATAGATGGTGCGAACTTCATTCCATTCAGCTTGGAATCACTAAAACTTATATATTCTCTGTTTTTCATTGCAGATAGCTGCTGCTTTATGGTGGTATTATGTCTCTAAAGGAATCGAATATTTGGATACAGTATTCTTCATTCTGAGGAAAAAATTTAATCAAATTAGTTTCCTTCATGTCTATCACCATTTCACCATGTTCACCTTGTGGTGGATTGGTATTAAGTGGGTTGCAGGTGGACAAGGTGAGTTCCCTTCCTCTTATATGTTTTCGACTGGGCAGAAGGGAGAATTATTATTGTTTGGGAGGAATAGAAGGAAATCTTATTGACTTGACTTAATAATATACAAAACTGTTTATTAATGGATACAGTCTCCTTCTGTGGGAAACATGGGGGAGGAAAAGATAGCAGGGCAGTAATCTAATGAATTGCAAAACTTCTTTTCTTTTCCTCATGGGCATCAATTGCAAGCCTGAAGTTCTGCTTTTGAAAGTATCTGTATCTGTGTGAAACAGAAAGATGTATGTGCCTTGCTTAACTTTAATTTTTGCAGATACATAGAGCTATAACATCTAATTGTGGGCCACATTCTGTGTGCAAATTTAATGAAGTCAATGGAGATGTTGTTTTGGCATTGTATATGAGTTTGAGGTTTGCTTTTATTTTTATAAAGAGGCATGTATAAAATTCTGAAACCTTCCCTTGGAGGTGAGCCAATAAATCTGTCAATTCACTTTTAAAACCTATTCATAAAGACACAAGTCTAAATTCATTAGCAGCCTTCTTTCCTCTTTCTTCTTTGCTAAAGCCTCCATCAAATAATTTTATTGTTGTTTATTGCACTTGCCGCACCCTTCATTACCTACATTATACTCTGGTTCCTGTTGTTTAGCCTTGTCTCTCAAATTGACAGCTCTGCAGAGCTGCAGGTACAGGGAAAATGCCTTTTTTCCTTTGATGTGTGATTTGTAGGCTTGCAACGCTGAAAATACCATATAGTAAACATAAAATACCATATTATGAACACTAAACTCATATTTTGGGTTTGGTGTTTTGTTTTTTTTGAACCATACAAATACTTACTGCATGGGTGGTTTATGCTCCCATTTACTATAGATATTTTGTACTGAGTGGCAACTTACATTGCAATGAAGAAATATGTAAATTTAGTGTCTCTGACTACCTTTTAATTTCTCTCATGTAATATGCAGGAAGCAGGTGCTCAACCAGATGTTTCATGGTCTTTATTTGCAACTGCACCTATAAAATAAGATTATTGGAGACTGGATGGTTGCTTGTAGACTTGCATAGAAATTCCTGCAGTTTTTATTCAACAGTTACAACTATTTCCAAATTTCTTTCAAGTTTTGTGTTCTAGCACTGCCTCTTAGTTCCTAGAGCCTTCAAAAGGAAAAGCAGCAGTTGCTTTTCTGCATTTATGTAGCTGCATAAATGTGGATAGATCTGTGTTCTGTTTTCTAGTTGATAACACACTGCTTACATAGACAGGTCTGTCACAAACTAGACCCTGTTACAGCAACTGGTCCCAGACCACACGGGCATCTGAGCTGTTTGATGTCACCACCTGTTGTCTGTATTGCCCTAATCTTATACATTTGAGCATTTTTGAGCATCTCTGTCAATGTAAGAATACCTTAACAAGATATGTTTCTGTTAAATGGCTGCAAATCTTGACAAAGCAAAGGAGAATGGATGTAATGTGGATCATTCTGGAAAATGTTATACTATACACTGACATATTTAAGAATACTGGATATTTTAAATAATAAATAAAGAAACTAAAAATAATTTAGACACACTCGCCTGGTAATACCTTAAAGTTCTTATAAAGAACAAGTCAGGTTTTGCTTTGTACAGGCTTTTTTTGGCCTATTTAATCAGATTTCCATGTGAGTTTTTTGACTTCTTGCTGAGAAGTGAACCTTTTGCATTTAAATACAATTTAAAAGAATAAGTTCAGAGCCTAGTACTTTATACTTTACATTGTCAAATAAAGCTTTTAATAATTCTGTAGAAAAATCGTTGCAGTTACACTAGAGCAACTAATGTGGAGTAAATGTCATTTATGTTTGTTCAACAAAAATATTATAAAAAGCTTTGGCATAAGTAGTTACACTGAAGATGTGACATAGTAGTTGCATTAACATCTGTTTGTGTCAGCACATGTTGACAGCCAGGTCTGTATTGTACTATTCAATATTTTGGAGATGGAATCCTGACACGTCCTGTGCTTTGTAATTTTTACCATTAAAAATAATTATATGAATAATACTAGAAAAGAATCCTCTTTTCTGAAATTACATTATGGTCTTCCCTTCTGTTCCTGGACAGCTTTCTTCGGAGCTCAAATGAATGCATTTATTCATGTCATTATGTACATGTATTATGGATTAGCAGCTTGCGGCCCTAAATTTCAGAAATACCTGTGGTGGAAACGATATTTGACCATATTGCAATTGGTAAGTAATTATCCTCCCTTTGGGATAAAAGGTGTTGCCTCTGCATGGATTTGCATTTGCAGAGCTTTGAATCAGATGCTGCTCCTTCCAAAAGTTCTTCTCTGCCTGACATTCTTCAGTTAGAATACTTTCTGGAGATGGAAGCATTTATTCACCTTTGGAAAAAAATATATGCAGCATATGTAAGAGCTGTGTGAGTTAAAGTCTAATGCTTCCTTGCTAGTTGTTTCAACTGAATAACAAAAACATATTCAAAATGTAGAGAAAATCCAGATCAGTTATTATCCTCTCATTTTCCTGCTTCTGAAAACTGATGATACTACAATAAATGTGATGCTTCTGGTCAAGCACAGATGTGGCTGCGTGAACGTGACAGACAAATACAGCTTCCCTACCACCTCCCAATTCAGCTGTTTTCATTACTTAATGAATTGGTATAAATTGATATGCTCAGACCTACAGAATATATCTAGACATTTTTGATTCTATATTTTCTGTCTTTCAGGTGCAGTTTCATGTGACTATTGGCCACACAGCCATGTCTATTTATATTGATTGTCCTTTCCCTAAATGGATGCACTGGGGTGTCATTTTCTATGCTGTCACCTTCATTTTCCTGTTTGGTAACTTCTACTATCGGACATATAAGCTGCCCAAGGAACCTGTAAAGAATGGCAAAATAGCAAATGGTGCTGTTGCAAATGGAGTAAGCAAACCAGAAAATAATGCGGTGGTGGAAAATGGAAAAAAGCAGAAAAAGGGAAAAGCAAAAGGAGAGTAACTTGATCCAGGCCTTAACCATTGTTGGCAGTGAGGAACCTCCAGTTTGGGTTATAAAAGGAAGAAAAAAACACTATCTGTACCAATTAACCTTAGGTTACTGAAGAGCTAGAACACAGATATTTTCATTATTTATGAAGATTGTTTTAAGAACAACACTAAAGTTGAATTTCTATTGTAATTATGTAATTATCATGCATATGGTCTCTGTGTAAACTTGTAGACTGCTGGTGTTGGTGAATGTAAGGAAGAATTGCAGTTGATTCCATGTTTAGCAGTCCAAAAGTTAATAGTACAATTGATACAGTTTTGTTGGCACCCACATTTCTTGGGGGGCGGGGGGAGGGGAAGGAAGTAGCATTTGAATATTTGTGCTTTCTTTCCAGAATACTATTAAATTTCAAATTATGACATATTATCTAATCAGAATCCGCAACTTTTCTTGTCCTCCTTGGAGAGTACCTTCAGACAGAATATGTGCTGTCAGAACAGTATTTGATTTTTCAGTCATTACTTGATTTAATTGAGTATCTGTTACAGTTTGGTTTTTGTTTTATTATTTTTTTCTTGTGTGGAAATATACCTACCTCTTCATCTGCTGAAAAGGATATTGAGCATTAAATAACTGGTTTCTGGAATACAGAGTCCTCTAATCTAAATATCTGTTAATATTAATTCAGGAGAACATGTTTCCCTGTGGAAGTAAAAGGGATTTTTGGTGGTATCCTTTGATCAAGTCATCATTTTAATGTAAACTGAAATTTTGGAGTGCTACTTTTAGTAGAGCCAAATATTTTAAGAATGTGTAAATATGAACAAATATATTGGTTGAAGCAAGAAGTAAAAATAGGCCTGCTGCTTGTTGTCCATGACCTGGGTTAAATCTGTGGCACTGACTGATACTCAAAATGGTAAGATAATGTTATGGTGGGGAGAAAACAGCATGTAATTCCATTTAGAAATGTTGTGTGCATGGGTAGTCATGCTAACTACAAAACCAACCATCACTTTATTGGGAGAGAGAATTCAGTTTAAAAGTGCTAAATACATAAATACATAGCAAACATAAAATCTTGAAAATGTTGCTATTGCTTGATACCTGTCAAAACTCTATTTCTTAGACTCTTGCAGACGAAGTATTGCCTGATAGACAGGTCACCTTTATAAGTCAAAACTGCTAAAATAAGTAGAAACTTTTAGATGGATTTTCATTTACATGTTACATAAAGGACTTTTTACCATTCCTTTTGTGAAGAAAATAGGGAAAGATTTATACTTCTTCTGAATAATGTGTTTACTGAGAGGTACATTTTGAGCTGCTTAGCATGCAATGAGTAGAAGATGGGTGGAATTAGAAACTATATCCTGGATTACTGTGTTCCTTAGCCATCACTGCAAGAGCTGTATTGTTACTGTCCAAATGCATTCCCCCCCAGCTCTGGTCAGAAACATATCCAGAGGCAGCAACAAACACATATCTAGCAAGTAGCACCATCGGTGCAGAAAGAGTACATGGAACGGTGAGTGTAAAGTGAGTGACACATTTAATAGATTTTTTTTATCTCAATCATCCATTTACTGTTTATAATATGCAAGCAGGTTACATATTCTGTGTCTCAGGTTTGTCTTGTTTCTATATAAAAAAAATCTCAACTCAGAAAACAATTCCTAGGAAAAAGAGTTTTGGATGTAGTCTGTTGTATTAGAAAATAATTTCTAATGCTCTAATGCTGGAGTTGGTTCAGCTGAAAGGTGGTTCATCCCTAATCATCACCACTGTGGATTTTTGGGCAGAATGTAGAATTGTGAAAAACTGACTCTGCTGAACTCAAATTCATGTGACCATTAAGTTTCTTGTCTGCTGTGTGTTCTGATTCTTCCAGCCTTTGTAATGATGCTTTTTTGCATTTGCATAACTGCGTATTTACATAGCGTGGCATGGGGAAGAGGGATGGTGACTACCCTTCCTTCTTGGACAAATGCCACTACCCTTAACCAAGCCAAAGTGCTGGCTGACTCAGTAATTTTGGAATAGCTAAAGGAGTAAATAACTACGGAGCAGATTTACAGCACACCTGCTGCTCCAAGGTAGTGACTAGTGTGAATGCAGTTACCCTGCTGTAATTTCAAGGTCGTTTACCTCACTTTGATTAAAGGGTAGCTTCTTTCTATTTGCCATGGGATGTGGGCAGCTAACTTCTAAATCTGTATCATTCCATGAATTGTGTTAAATTGGTTGTTTGCTCTGTCATTCATTCAATAAGCCAGATCAGCGAAACTGATACTCTTCCTGTGATCTAGCTCTGAAACAGCACCCCAGGAGTATTACAGCACAGGATCAATTGTGTCTTTGCTACACTTTCTGACTTAACAATTATGTCTTGCATGATGGTAAATATTTAAATAACTGAAAGTTAAATTTTTTTCCCCCTTATCATGCATGGAATTGGATTAAAGTTGATTGCAACTTGAATATTTTTGACAAAACTCGAGTAGAAGTCTACTGTCAAATTCTGGAGTAATTGTTAAATACTAAAAAAAGTGAAAAAACCTCATTGTGAGAATGCATGTGTACATACACATCATGTTGTCTGGCCCTGTGCATAAAACCAGTTTGAGAGATTCCCATTTTCATGGGAAAAAAAAAAAAACAAACCAGTTATTAAATTACTGGAACACTGCTGTTTTGAGTACATCTTTTGCAGTATGACTTTCCTAGGTTTATTTATGATATATTTGATTGTTCATGTAATTCAAGTCCCATTACAATCTTGAATATAATGGCCTTATTAAATGTGCATTTTGTAGGCATGGTCTTGAGTGCAATATTTCTGTTTCTGACTATGCAGCCGTACTCACAGAATACAGGGCTCAACTTGTACAGCTTTTTGTTTTTCAAAATATAGGCAATAATGCACATGTGAAATACTGACAGATTCATTAGAGTCATCTTTGAATCTAAGGAAGCTTAAAATTTTGCCATGAAAGTATGTATAAATATGTGTATTTTCTATACATAGTACTGAAATTCAAATTATACAATCTTTCGCAGTACAGTTATTCTTTACAGGGTTATTGGGGTTTGTTCTTCTAAATCCTTTCAATTTATTGAAAAATTAAATTCAAACCATTTGAAACTTTTCTTTTTTTGCCAAGGAGTGATAATTTTTTGCTAGGAGTTCTGAAGCTCTTGGACCAGAGTCTCTAAATATTTGATGCCATATAAGTAATACCATTTTTCATTTAGCCTCATCTCTAGCAGTGACAGTTGTTGGATTATTTTAGCACTTTTTCAGTGTAAAATTAAATACAAATTATCTATATATGTATATATGTGTACACATACATAGTGTATGTGTGTGTATATATGTATGGATTCTTAGCATATTCTTTCAACATGTGAAGTAAATTATATTTCTTGAATGTGAATTTGGCAGGAGCTAATAGAATGATTCCTACAGCTCCAGCAGGAAAATGAAGCAGTTTTCCTTCCACAGATCCAGTATCAGTCTTGCAAACATAAATAGTATTTGTCAGTTGTTTTAGATACAGGATTGCAGACAAGACAGAGCCATTTCTACCAGTGTAATAAATATTTTGAGGCATCAGTTGTAGATTCTGAGGGGAGAGATCTCAACTCAGGGTAGCTGTGGAACTATGCTGTATTATGGTAGGGATCATTTTAGTAAGAGTAACTTGCTCCAGGTGAGTCTTTGAAATCATTGCAATCATATTCTCTGTTAAACAGAAAGCTTCTAAAAATAAATCATAGAGTCATAAAACCATTTAGATTGAAGAAGACTATTAAGATGACTGAGTCCAACTATTAAACCAATGTTTCCCTGCAAGTTCAAAAGCATGGCCTATTTGATTACAGAACCATCAATTACTTCCAGCTCCAGACCAGGATAAAAAGGTGAAGGCAAAATGAAAATGCTGCACATTTTTTCAGGTTAACCTAAGGGCACATTTCTTCAGAGAAACACTTGAACTGCATGTGCTGGGAAGGGAGGTAAGAAAGGACAAATAGCTTTTGTGATGGAAGATCTGAGTCCTAAAATAGTTTACAAGCACTAGCTATTTCTTAAAAACTTGAGTAAAACTGTTCATGGTGCATAAAGTTAAACCTTGCATGAAGCTAGTGTGGGCTGAGAGTTATATTTAAAATGAGATTTATTTCAGGTAAAATTGAAGAGAATGGGGAACTAATTAAATATCTGGATAGTGTATTTATCTTGGTTAGAAACACAGACTTATCTAATTTGATACCTAAAGCAAGACACCCATATGACATCTCATTGCACTGCAGTCTGATGCTCCAGCCCCTTTGCTAATGTAAGCAGAGGGAGCTCCATGGGAATGAGTGGGTTGGTTCCCATTTACCTCAGCAGAGTATGGTGAGCACTAAAGAGCAGAGAAAATGCTTGCTTTCTGCCAGTATCCTGGGAGGATTGAGGGAAATGTATGGTTCAGGGTGCTGCTTTTGCATAAGGTGTTCATGCTTTTGTAAACACTGAAAATAAACATTACTTTTTTCATGCTGTTTGAGTTTGGTTTTATACATTCTGTAGTATGTTCTTCTGTGTCCCATCTTGCCTCAAGATGCCTGCTAACTTTAGTGTTGTGTAGATTTTGTGATGTAATCTGTTTAGTTGCCCAGGAGTTTGTGGAAACCATTTTTGTGACATATCCTCCTATTTTGAGGTTACAGGGACTTCCTAATTTTGAATATTGTCCCCAAATAATAATGGAGTGGCTTTGAAACCACTGTTAGGGAACCAACTAAAAATAGGATGCCCACTTAAGCAAAAAAAAAAAAAAAAAATCCCCTAAGTTTCCTTATTTGGTCTTGGAAACATTAACAATTGGGAATAAAATTAGCCATGAAGTTTAGCTTTTGCTGGACACTGTGTGGTGTTAATGAAGTCTCATCCCAGAGAATCTGGAGCACTTTTGGCATTAGGTGCAATTGGTGGTTACATGTGTTGGGTACAGTAAGTTCCTTCATTGTCTGCCAAGTATGAGCTCTGTAATCAACCTTATAAAATCAAGTTGCACCCATGTTGCACTCCTAGAACCTCAGTGCAAATAGCTACTCCGGATGTCAAGTAGCAGGGAATCAAGTCTGCCGTCATAGCAAAATATGGTGTGGTCAATTATGTCTTGCACAATTCTCAGCTATTGCTTCAATCCACTGCTTACATCCTCCCTGGATCAGAAAATACACCAAGTGATCAGAACAAGATTTGTCCTTTAGATGATTAACATGTGCTGGGGTAGGCTCTCTCTGCAGGTATCTTTCTTATAACTCTATTCCTCACCAGTAATTAAAAATAAGAATGTGATCAAATCAGATTTATCAGATGATTGGATAGAATAGACTGGATCCTCTGGTGTTCTGTTTTCTTTTTTGTATCGCTTGCTTCTTAACATCTGGGAAATTGGGGTTCAGCTCAAAGCACTGGGTGAGCATGGGCTGCTCTCAGACACACATATGAAGCATGTTCTCAAAGACAGCTTTGAAGGCAGTGCCTTCTATGGATTAGTGCCTTTCAGTGCATTTTTATGCTTGGGACTTCTAGGTCACCTCATGAATACAGGCACACTTTTCTGTTGACTGCCTGACACGTCAGTGACATCACATTTGACTTAATTGCAAAGATACTTATTGATGGGTAAGTTTTTGTCTCTTGATCATCCAGGCTCTGATTAGTGCACACTACAAAACAGTGCTGGCAGTTCCTGCCAGAGCACCACACAGTCAGTGCTGCTTTAGGGGAAAAAGCTATTTGCATTTGATTCAGTAGGTGGGAATTGATGCAAGCTCATATGGCATCACTGCTGTCAATTCAATATCAGGTAGGTTTTAGTTTGCTAGCAAAAAGAAAGATTTGAGTTTTGAACTGACTCAGTATTTTCTGTCTTTATCTTTACCTAGACAGCTATTGTTCTTGCAGTGGTGGAACCTTAATTTGTTTGACAAGAAAACCACTGTTACGTTAGTATTTTTTGGAGTGTGTTTATGAGAAAAAATAGAGAAATTCAAGAAACAACTTGGGCCAAAAACTAAAGAACATGAGGTAATTGCTTCTTTAGTTTTTGCTGTTGTCCCTAGATGTTGCAGGAGTTAAGTGACTACTCTATAACTGCTACTGCTGTGTATTCATTACAGATGCTGTACTGGTATACAAGTAAGGCACTTTTGCATAAGTACATTCTGAAGTACATGAAAGTTTGCTTTGTCTTAAATGATAATCAAGAGAGTGATTTATTTAACTACAAATGCTTGGAGTGAAAGTAATGACAAACATAATACTCCTGCATTGGCAAGACTCACTCTGTATTTTCTCATAATCTCATTTTCTCGTAATCTTCAGAGCTTCTGAGTAGTTTCTTGCAGTAACAGAAAGCCCTCCAAAGCTGAAAATTGCTGTATAAGCTAAAAACCTGTTTTTGCAGAGCTTCTGTTACTGCTTTGTTTCTTTTTTGTACATGTATCTTCAGGTCAGGTGTTTGCTTACTGAATTATTCATGAGTGGAATGTAGGTCACAGAAAGATCTGTAGTAGCTGCAAGTGAGTAAAATGTTAAAATAAACTTTGGGGCGTTTTACAGTCAAGGGTTTCAAGTCCATGGTGTCATTTGGTACACTGGGTTCACCTCAAATGCTGCTCTTGGGTACTGGGTACAGAAGTCTGGGTCTACCCAGCCTGATAGGAATTTTCCTTACTAAACAACAGATTCTCACCTGGAAATTGGTGTCTGACCTGGTTTCCACACATTTGGCAAATGGCACAGAAGAAGTCCCTGGGCCAGTGAGGAATGGGGTTTTTTTTTGTAGTTCTACCTATTCTCAAAACATCAAATTTAGTAGGGGGTGTTGGAACATTTTCTGCTGACAGCATGAGGTACGGAGTTTGAAGAAAATGTGTCCCTGGATGCAGTGCTTGTAAAGAGCCTAGAATATTTTTCTGCTCTTAGTTGCTTGACATAAGCCAAATATGCTGGAAATGCTCCAATTAAATAGGAAAAAACCCCACCACATTGTTAGGATTTACTCAGAAAGTGAGATTTTAGGTAATAGGTAGTTCTTTACTGAAAAATTCCCCTTTTCCTCTTTGCCCACTTCAATCATTTCATCTGTGCATGCCTTTCTGCTCTGCTAGAGTGGCTTCTTGGATGAAGACTGATGTGTTCAGGGAATAGTTTACTGCTGTGATTTGTCACTGGGGCATGTGAAGTGACTTTTTGTGCAGCCTGAAATGCCAAATAGCGGCCGCACATTCTGAGCAGGTTGAGTATAACAATATTTTACGTGTAATGATCTCAAAACCGTGTTTTCTGGATATAATAAACTAAGAGGAGGAACAGCTTTTTTAAAATTTGGTCTTCCTGCTTAACAAATATGGGGCTACAAGGACAAATTCCAGTTTGTATTCTATGATATGAAGGCACACTGTACATTCATAACCAGAGTTTGGCTGTGGGAAACAGAGAGTTTACTGCACTATAAAATCACCTTGTTAGAGATTTTATATTGAGCTCTTCTGTGATGACAATTTAATAAATACCAGATTTTTATATAAGTCTGACTTTTGGGTATTTTTATTTTAAAGTCAGGTAAGTTTTCTTGCACAGGTAAAATCCCTCATCGTGACTTTTGAGGCTTTTTCATATTCTCTGTGTGAAGTTTCACTTATTTCTGTGAGAATTTCACTAAGGACAGTCCATGATGCTAACAGACTGTATAAAATTTACTTACCATCTAGACCTCACATTGCACACTAGAAATTTTGAAGTATAATAGAAAAATAAGGACCAAAACCTTTAAAATTTTTTCCACTTAGTTTCTTTTGTTGTCTTTTTTTTTTTTTTTTTTTTTTTTTTTTTTTTTTTTTTTTTTTTTTTTTTTTTTTTTTTTTTTTTTTTTTTTGTTTCTTTTAAAACTTTACAATTAAGGTGTAATTACTTTAGTAAAATACTAGAAGTGGCAACATATTTTGAATTTACACAGTGATGGCTGTGGCAGAATTCTTAGAGAGAAAACTCAGTGCTGCAGAGAAGTGCATGGGTGGTTTTTTTTTCATGCTTTATGGCACTTTATTAAATCTGCTTTTGATAAAGGATGAGATATGAGACTTGTACGTGCAATGCTTGTAACTCAAACTCTCCTTAATGTCTCTAGTTGCACCAGCACTGTGAATTACCCTTGTAGTAGAATCTTCATAAGCACTTGGCATAAGTTGCCTGCTCACAAGTCTATAAAATCTCTTGGATCCAAAAGATGTTGTCTGAAGCCCATTAAAAGCTACAGAGGGATTGATTTACTAAAATCCTTGAACTGAGCCATTAGAATTTCACTAAGGAGAATTTCAATTCTAAAGTAAGAATTTGTAATTTTGTAATTTTTGAAATTGTAATTTTTTTCATACTCAGATTTACAGGGTGCCTTTCAAAATATATTTCAGGACATTTTTGGCAGTGAGACAATTTTTCATTCTTTCAACACCTTAAGTGTGACTTTGCCAGCCCCTGTAATCAATGGCTACCAGGGAGCAGCAGTGGGCTCTCTGCCATTCATGGCAAGTATTAGAAGATGGCTGCTCAGCTCAGTAGGTGGTGCACTAGAAAGAAGGAATTCATTTGCTTTGTAATGTGTTTTGTTAGGAATTTTAACTGACTGGGGAATAAGTGGGTATTTTAATCTGACCAAAATATTCTTGATACTTTCTTCACATTATCTCTTGATGCATATTTTCATGGGGAGTAGGAATATGTGCTGTAGGAACAAAGAGATGCACAAAGTATTAATGGTCTGCTTGCTTTTGCATTGCAAGGATGCTAGAATAACATGATGTTTTATGCAGACAAAGGATTTGAGACTCTGTTCTCAATTTAATTTTTGGTGTAGCAATTTTGGCAGCATGACATCTCAAGGCAATGTAATTCTTTGTTTTTGTTGAGACACCAGCAGAATGCTGTGAAGTGCCTCCAAATTTCCCATTATGAGCATAATGCCAGACACCAAGATTAGTTCTCAACATCATTGTGACCTGGTGAGCAGTCCATTCTGGATCTAAATTAGAAATTTAAAAGAATTCCATTATCTGCAACAAAGTCAATATAGTCAACAGCTTTTTTTCAGCACAGTAACTAGGCCAGGATATAGAGATTACTAGCTGCAAAAGCTATGTCTAGAAATTAGGAATTCAGAAAAATAAATGAAAAAACTTGACAGATTGTGTTCTATTTCTTTGATTTAAATAAATTTTAAAAATCATTTCATTCAATACAGCTTTGTCATGTCTTTCTTCAGCATTGAGAAATAAGGTAAAGAAAAATCCCTGAACTCTGCTCATTGAGGTTATTACTTACTATTCTTTTTGTGCCCTCTTCTATTCCAGTAGCTAAAGCAACCAAATTAAGAAATGCCCTCATTTTTGCTTATTAATGCTATTTATATTAGGAAAATAATATCAGGTTTTAAATCCCCAGCTGGAGCCTGTTTCTCTTTGATGCTTAGAAAAAATAGCCATTACAGTTGTGAAGAATGCTTTAGAAAGAGATTGATGATACACTTAATCAGAGATGAGGATGGGCTAATTAACTATGCTCCTTAATTTCTTTTTGTCAGCTGTTATAATGCAATCTGAATGTTTATGCAAGAATTTCAGGTCTTGAAACTGGAAGTTCCAGAGCAAAATGAGCATTTTATCATTTATTTAGCAAGGAGGAATTTATCCACACTGAGTTGGATGGCCCTGCTGTCCTATAAAAGTTGAAAGAATAAGAAATCATAAAAATATTCGGCCCTGAACCACTTTTAAAATTAAAGTATTCTCATCACTGGTCAATCCTATTTCTTGGGACTGGTTTACCTTTGAGGATTTATGGGATTGACTGAACAGAAATTTAAATATGTAAATAAATAAAAATATCAGATGTCAAATATCTGTTCCAGGTGATTTAGTGGGGAAAGTGAAGATTCCCATAGCTGGAAACTGCATTCACTTGCAAAACATTTTTCGGGTGGCACTTGAATTTTGCAGGTTTGCACAACCTGTGAGTTGTCACCAGACTGTGGGATGAAGGGATGAATACAGGTGAGTGGTGGTGAAGGCACAGACAGCTGGATGATGCTTTTCATTACAGTGTTTCCTTGGGAAAACCTGGAGCCTTCCTAAGCTGATGTTTTCTAAGGAAGAGCTAAATTATGTTCTGGCATCCATAGGAAGGGCATTTCTGCAGCTCCACCTCCACAGCTTTAGAGCTTTATCTGATGGGCAATCTTGAAATGGTTTTTCTGGCAGGTACTTACTACAAAAACAAAAGCTGCTCTTTCCAGAGCTCCTCAACATTGGTAAAAGACCACTTTCAGTTGTTTAGCTTTGGGGTATTCCTTACCTTAACAGAGAAAGGAGACCAAAAGAAGACTCACAATTTACTTTGAATGGCCACTGTGCAACCTGTGAGAGATTTTGTATGTTTCCCAGTGATTTACAGGCAAGGATGAGAGGACTAAACAAATTTTGAGCAGACACCTTTTCTGGAGTGTGGTGTCATGCCTTAACAATAGTGTTATCCCTTCTGGCAGGGCTATAAAGTAAGGGGATTATTAATTCAACAGTAAAAAGCACAGTAGGTAATTTGTGTTAGTCCTAGCTCTTTGTTTAATATTTTTTTTCCAAGGAAAAAAAAAAAAAAGACATTTACAAAGTGGTTGGAATACCTGGTAAGCTACCAGAAACAAGACTTGCAAGGGCTTGGGTAAGGATGACTCTCTCCTTTGATCCTGTTCCTTCTGCAGCGTGGCAGGCTAATACAGGACTAGTGCTGCATCTGCAAGCTCAGTGCAGGACCTGTCACACTGTGGGGTTGGAAATGAGGTCCTGCAGCCACTGCTGCCTCCTGGGACGTGGTGGTGTGGAAAAACACGAGAACTGATAGAGCTTTTGCTCTCCTGCCCATGCCCAGAGCACCCTGAATCTTCTCGTGTGATGAACATGCTGCAACGCGTGGTTTGTACCGTCATGGCTTTTTCAGTTTCTGGCATAAGAGACTGAATCAGTTTGCACAGCATTAAACAGGAATTGTGCTGAATGCTGCAATCAAATGCCAAATCCCTGTATCTCATTCATTAATAAGGTATTTTTTACTGAATGCTGAAATCAAATGCCAAATCCCTGTATCTTATTCATTAATAAGGTATTTTTTAATTTGGGATGTAATTAGTTTACATCATAAAAAACTCTAGATAAGCATTTTCTAAGAAACAGCTGACAAGCAGTCACATGGAAATAATCATAATTGCTGGAATAGAACTAAAACCTTTTTGCTTAAAAAGCTTCTAGTGCAACAGCAGTTGTGTTAGCCAGAAAATCAGAAAGTGTTTGTTTTTGCTATGTATGTCTAGGTGTACACACAAGGACTTCCCAATCATGGTGCTGCACTTTTTACTTTTTCTACAGTTCTTGCAAAGTAAATTGTAAAATGCCCAGCACCTTTGTGGTGTTACTCATCAGCATTCCCAAATACACCCGTTTAGTTGCCCGAGTGCAAGCCCTAAAGCTTTTGTCAGCTGCACAACAGCTCTTCCTCAGCTTTGGTTGTCTCTGAGCCACAGGAGGGAGATTTTTTATAATATCACAGAACTCCTCTGTCCTGAAACTTCAGAGCACTTGGAGTAACACAATGCCAATGATCAGCTGGTTTTATTAGGTGTTTTTATATATGTATTTTATCACCCTCTAATGAAGATTAATGATGTGAAAGTACCACAGCCAGCAACAAAAAAACCTGCATATGGAAGTGTTTTGAAAAGCCAGCTACAGCTCAGGGATGAGACTGGTGGCTCCCCACTAAAAAGGCTCATTGGGACATGGGGTCCAGCCCCTTCACCTTGGCCAGAGGATGTGTCCCACAGGGCTGGCAGTCACCTCTCCACTTCACCCATTCTCTGTTTCCTCATTCCCAGCCTAACCCTCAGCTCATGCCCATCTCTTATGGAAAGGATCGACCAGTCTGGCTCCTGCTGCAGCAGCACTGGCTCAGGCAGGAAAACATGCCAAAACTTCACCAAGCAACAGGGAAACATGAGCAGGTTTGGTCTTGGTGTTGCCCAGGCTGCCTCTGAAGAGCACTGGCTGTGCAAGGCAGGCCTGCCCCTCGCCTGCTGACAGCCCTGCGTTATCTCCCCTGCCATCCTTCCCATCAGCTCATTCTGCTTGGCTCTACCAGTGACTCAGTCTATTAAATGGGCGTCATATTTTATTACAAACCTGAGCTAATTAATTACATGCTGTTAGGCAAAAAAAATGCAGGGCAGCTGTAGAGGGGAGCAGTGATGCAATGGAGGTGCAAACAGAAAAGCTGTCACTTCTGGAAAGGGAGAGAAAAGGATTAAAGAGTTAACATAACCAGAAGAGCGGCTTTCCTAAGTGGATCAGTCAATGGAGGCATTGGGAAAGCATGGCTTCATAGGGCTGCTGCCATGGGAAGCGCTGCCACCCACCATGCCAGTGCCTTGCAGGCCTGCAGAGATGGGGAGCTCCTTGTGCCTTTTCAAAAGTAGTCATTGCCATCGCTG